CATAATGTAAAACACAGATTCAGATAAATCCGGGGGTGGGGACTGATGAATTGCAGTGAATTGAAAACTACCCCTATTGAGCTTCTCGAACATTCCTTTCATATTTATAGTTAAGATGTTAACCGAAGAAAATTTATTTCACAAACAAAACAAACGGTGTACCCTCGCATGGTTACACATAACACAACTACATTTTTCTCTTTTCTTTCTAATTGTACACCTATCAAATGAGGAAGTTCATAAAAATATATACTATATATATATGTAAGATAAAAAATATGTAAATCAAAATTATAATTTAAACAAACGGTAAAACTTTAATTCTCGCTCTCTATTCTAAAAATCGTTAATAACTTCTATCGATTGCGTCATTTCTAGATCATTCCTTTTTGCATGGCCTGCGCAGCGCTGATAACGTAATAATTGGGAAATGAAACTTCTTAACTCAAACCAAAACTTTTCTCTTCGTGTGCTTCTATCTTGGCATAACTACGCACTTCATCTTCTCTCTCTGCTCTGCTTGGACGTAATTTCGCTATGCTGCTTTCTATTGCAATAATATCAAAAATGTAAATGTTCTTGGATAGGCACGGCTAGAGTGTCAAGCGAACTGTGGCCACAAATGTTGCAAATAAAAATGGAATTAAAACTGCCTCGACTGCCAAATTTTTAGATATTATGAAGTCAACCTATTATGCTTATAACGCAATCAGAATGCTTCATCTTCAATATGGATCTACGTACGCATCAACACTGATCCGTCGTTTCTTTGCGTTTTTATTTCATATATATATATATACATATGTGTGTGTGTAAGGATTTAATACGTAGAAGAAGACACTGGAACTCTTAACAGCTTTCGATATCCGTCATGGCTGATGGTTAAGGCATACCGATGAAGATAACAAAATTGGATTTTTATAAATCACCAATCGATAATTAATTCAAAATTATATATAGATGTATACATAAGATATAATAAAATACGATGGCTGCGCAAAGAAACGATTAGCGACCTCAAAATTAACTATTCTAAATTTGGTGTTCTCCTTCTTAAGTTCATCTGTTCTCCCAAATTCGAGATCTTTCCATGTTACATAACGCTGCTTGAAAAATGGAACTAAAACTCAAAATTAACCAATCACAGATTAACTGTACTTATGCACCTATCTAGTATAAACTGCTACGGACTGTTTAGTCTCTCTTCGCCTCTTCGCCTGCCTGCTGAGAGCGTGTCGCTCGGCCTAATAATTCGTCGTTATTTAAAATGTAATTGCATATCTAAAATTATGAGACGCGTTTAGCACTCCTAATCTTCTACCGGTTACAAAGATATGTGCTAAGAAATTCGATATCCAAAAATAAATTACGTGTAACTATCAAGCTGGCCGTGCTTCTTCTAAAAATACATCAGGTCATTTCAATACGTAGCAATTTCTATTCATCGACGCAGAAGTATTTTCGGCCATGACTAGAACGTGACTGTTTTTAATCTCCCGCCAAAAGTAAATCATTACAATATGACATATCATTACATATATATATACTTTTAAGATAAATGATAATTAATTCAAAATTGATTTTTAATTACCTCTTAATTATTAATAAATTTCCCAATATACTGCGCGACTTTAATCATTTATAATCTTAATCTGAAATTTTACACTCTCGTTTGTATATATATATATATATATAACATTAATATATAATTTCCAAGTTAATCTTTATATATAAATCTTTATGCGATTCCCAAATTCCATAAAACACCATTAAAATTTAGATTTATATCTAATGGAACTAATAATTACAAGAAAAATGTAGACTATTATTTTTCAATTCAACTTAATAAAATCTGAAAATTTATTTTCAATGATTGTAACACTAATCATAACTATTGCTGGATCATTCATAATAACACTCCTGTCATTAATACCATTCAAACCATTAACATCCAAAACATTAACTGCTATGATTTTGAAAACTTATATACCTCACTTCCTCTAGAAGAAATCTATACCAGTCTACTTGATCTACCTAAACTTTTTCCTAATATACTCAATATCATGACTCTTGACAAATGGAAAACCTACCTAAAATGCACACTTTTTCATAACTACATCAAGTTTCAAAATCAACTTTTTAAACAAGTCAGAGGATTGCCAATGGGCTTACATTCCAGCACCTCGATCTGTAATATCTTTTTATTTGTCAAAGAATTTAACTTCCAAAAAAATCTACAACCACAAGAGTTAAATTACTGCAAACAAACCTACAGATATATTGATGACCTTATTACAATTAATAATTTTGGTAAAATTGAACACTCCGAGATTTATCCGAATTGTCTTACACTTAATAAAACTAATAATTCACAAAATAGCATAGACTTTCTAGATCTTCAAATCATTAACTACAAAAAAATTTTACTTTTTGACAAAACAAGAAACTTCAATTTCAATACTAACAAATTAATAAACTGGAACTCCAACATATCCAAAAAAGTAATTAACAATACTATAATTAATCAAATACAACGAATTAAAACTATATGTACAGATACAATAGATTTACTACGCGAAATTTTGATCCTTATTAAAATTCTCAAAAATAATCTAATTCCCATTCAATTTATCAACCATTGCCTTAAAAGAGCAGGCGTTAAATACTCACTCTAAATCATTTAACTGATAGGGATAAGATAATTTATTCCTAAACCTGAGAAGGCGGTATAAGTTGGATGACTGTCAGTTGGAAGATTTGTATACAGTGTAATTACTCAATTGTATATATTGTAAAAAGCTAATTGTCTTCAGACATATACTGTTATTATACTGTTAATAAAAAAATGGGCCAATTTCATGCCTTTAGTCTGTCTATTAGCTCTTGGACAGTGAAAATTCCTTTTTCCTTTCTTAAATTCTTAATCATTGCGACACGACAATTAGCCAGAAATTAATTAATTTCCATTCACTAGTATTTTCAAAAAAATCTTAACAGACAGTCTCACTCAGATAAGAACTCCACAAAATACATCCCTCAAGAATTCCAAGTCCCACCCACTACCATAAATTACTTCACCCAAGTCTTACCGACTGATATTATTCAAAGCCCCTACTGCCGCTAAGAATTTTCGGACACCCTACACATATGAGTCAGACACGAAGAGAACACTTTGCCAACTCCCCCACTAGAAAGAATGTAAGTTACTTAATACCTTTTCTGGCCTTTATATCTTCATGTACATTCACTGATCTTATTTATATTATTTTCTATATTATTTTTATATTGTTTTGATTTGTTTGATTTGTTTTTACAAAGTTTGCATTATTTATCTTATTTTTGTAATCTTCTATGTTTATTTCAACTTTACTTTGAATTCGATTTCATAATGACACAATTTCCCAATGTTTAATTTCTACAAATAATATAGTACTCAAATGCATAAACATGAAAGTGTCGGGGACGGTTACTCGAGTTAAATAGGATTTCTCTACAGTAATTGATTTTTACTCGAAATTGAATTGACTAAAATGCTTCATAAGAATAAGTTCTTTGAGTATCAGCATTGGTTCATAATTCCTTCTATTCGCGGAAATATTTGGCCTGACTAGAATTGCCGGTTTGGCTTTAACTTATAACTCGAGTAAAGACGAAACACTTTCGTATTTACGTATTTTTATCAATTATTGTTCATTGAACGGGAGTTAGTTTGTTCCCCTTGAAAAGTCAACTAATTTCCGATCAATGACAATGATTACATGTTTTAATTTTTCCTTTTACAATTGAAATTTTATTCTTCGTGATGATTTAACTCCAGTCCCCGTTAAAACATTATTAACATATTGCTTTCAAATTACTTCAAAGCATCTTTCAAAATATAACTTACCAGTATGGATTCACACTTTTAAAATAATTCTACTTTAATTAAACTTAGGAGATAATATAATCAATTAATCAATACTGTTTAGGAAATAAATTATTATTAACTAACTTTGCAGCAATTGCGCAAGTAGTAATAACTTGTATTCGCACTAAATGGATTTAAGATCATACAACATATAATATAGATATAGATATAGATATAGATATAGATATATATTATAGAGTACCGCTCACAAACGAGATTGGAAAGAATTTTTTAGTGTGTGATTTTTGAAGAACGTTATGAAAAATAAAATGTGAAATATCATTTCTCTTTCTAATTTTTTTAAATCTAAAGTTTACAAGAAAATTTTAAATATTTGTAATATTGCAGATGGATTTGAAGAACTGCCCTTGAAAGCGAAAGCTTGGGATATGTGTCCCGTTTGCTTACCATAAAATTAGGCTTCGCAAATGAAAATCAACTAAGGAATTTTTTTTTTTTTTATTTTGAAGATTATCTGCATTGTTATTCAAAACTCTTCATAATGCTTCTCTCCCGGCAAAGAAAAACGTAATTTAGTTCGCATGAAAAGTAAAATAAATTATGTCATTCTCTGTTTTTTTAATAAATGCTATTATATAATTTGGAACTTGCGGTTTAAAAATGAAACATACATTTTTTTAATATGCAACATTTTAAACAAGCTAATAGTAGAAATATGGAATTATATTTGTATAATAGCTGTTGTATCGTAGTACAATGCCATAGCTATAGCTACCTCATCTTAAACCAAACTTTCAATCCTACATTTTTCATGCATAAACAGTACTTCATCGTCGGGCGACCTTTCTTGCATATAATGCTATAGTGATGCTGCCATCTTAGTGAGATATAAAAGACACTTTGCATAAATCTTTCACATTAGGACATTTTAGGCTCGTTTTATCTTAACTTTACTATCGATAAATGATTTATGATTAAGATAGCTTATAAATTACATATAATGTTTTAAACCAAAGATTCATTATTGAGTTAAAGAAAGCCGTTATGATCTGCTACGCTTCTCAGTGATTTCTTAATTATATTTTGTGGTCTTACTGATTAACAAATAAAGCAAACAAAACACACGAGAAAGTTCAGAAGTTGAAATAATATCGAATAAATTTATTTTTTATAGTTTTGTTTTTTGAAATCTATGATCGATATGAACAGTTGCTGATATATTCGGGCTCGAGCCATTCTACGTAACCGAAACCATGACACAAAGGATGAGATCTGGGATCCCTAGGTTTAGTCTGAGGTGGTTCGGCAACTGTCTGGTAAGAATAAATAACTTCCATCATCATCTTCACCACCTAAAAAATATAAGAAAATTAGGCATCAATTTTGTAATATATTAAGGTAAGGTTAAGGTCGTTCAAAAGATCGATTTCGGTTAAACATCTCAATCTTTTTTAACATTTTAAGACGACAAACTGGAAGTTTCTGTCTTCCACACTGGAAATTAAAATTTAAAGGGCAAATTATAGATGCACTTCTTCATCCTTTTTTATTTATAATTAAATATATTTGAGCATTTCAGTAGGTCTGGAGAATATGGTAAAGCATTTTTATTACATATTTTTCCATTTATAAGAAATATGTTAGAATATATAATATATAATCAAAAATATGTTTTTATCATCACTATTTTCCTGTCAGTAAGGGTAGATGTTTTTGTTAATTTTTATCTGAACTTTTCAGTGTTGTGAATAAATTTCACAAAATAATGAAATTTTTATCAAGTTTGTAGTGATTACATTTAAGTGTGAGTGCAACCCAATAAAAAAATCCCTTAAATTCAGAAATATAACTAGCATTTTAAATAAAACCTTTCGAACGAGGTCGGTTGCCTTAACAATGTAAACAATGAGTTTGTCACACATTTTACCATGAAGAATGTAACTGCTTTTTACCATAAAGGAGGGTCGACTACAATAAACGTGCCAACACTCATACCATTTTAAGTTCATGAAGAATGACAGAATGATCGAAGTGAACAATCGCTGACTTGAATAATGGTGCCAGCATATTTTGCAAGTTAATCATTGTTCATCAAAACATGAGGGGTGTCCGGCCATCTTACGGAGTTCAATTTATCTTCATGAAGATGCCGGGACGCCCATAGTTGGATCTTTATTATAGTGAATAGTCATTTATATGCATAATGGTGTCAGCACGCTTATGAAATGTGGTTTAGGACTTGGAGAAAGCAACTTCCATCAAAGTGTCGTCTTGGCTAAATTTTCATCGTAAAATTAACGGCATTTTTATACACGTGGATCAAAGATACCGTGGCATCGCATCCTAGAAGAAGCAAGTAGCTTTCGTCAATGTTTATATCAGAGCATCTTTAGTATAAATATTGGTGAAATCCTCTCGTATCACCACCATTATGAAGTTCAGTTTATAAGTTGGAGAAAACACCTTTCGTGTGTTTAGATGCTGGCACCTTTAAGCCAGAGGATCTTTATGATAGCTTCTGTCTAGGTGACCAGTCGCCGATTTGCAAAAAGGGACTGATGTCTTTAGTGACGAGGCAGATCTACAGCCACCGCCCCTTTGAGAAATATGCCGATAGCCTACCCGTCCTTATACACAGGAATTGGAGGAGAAGAGCTAGTTCATAGAGCATTTTTCCCTTGAGACGGGAAGTGCAGAGTGATAATGTCATGCTGGCACTAACCGCGAAGACGCAATTCACAACAAAGTATGAATTTGAATTTTTTTTAATTTGAAAAACCAGCCTTAAAATTAACTACGCGTGAAAAACAGCTATAACTTGGAAGAGAGGATGTTATTGTAGTAGTCTTAGATACATGCTAATAGATAAATACTCTTTTGAAATAAAGTTTCGCTTCCTTAAAACTTGCGTCCCTCCCTTTCGTTTATTTAATTAAAGCTTTTTTAAAGTTAGACCAAAAGAGGGGGAGAAACCTTAGATTGGCGTAGTTTTGAACATGTATGGCAATTCTTTTTTCCTTGACTATCCTTCAAATGGCTACTTATTTTTTTCAAAATTTCATTTAATCTAAGACGGCTTTTTGACCTAGCTATAAATTTTACATTGGCATGTTTCTCTTTTAATTCGATAAAATGACAGACAAATTTTCCATCTTATACTCACACCTGTGCACATGCATTAAATTTAAATAATTGCAGTATGCAAAATAGTTATCTTAAGTTTGACAAAATAACTTTACTTACAGTATCTAACGAGAATTATTTAATTTTTCTAAAGGAACGGGTAAGGAGGAAGGTCTTTTTTATGCAAAATTGCTTTCATTCATAACATTTGCAAAGCACTAACCTTGTATTTTTGCGTATATTTCCTCTATCCATTCCTGTTTACCTTCGAAATCGATAGAGACTTGACTAAACTCTATGCCAACACAAGGTTGTTGCTTTACTAGTTTCATGCTTTAATTTGGCATGTTTTCTTTTGTCTTGAAGTTTACTTTAATGTTTTATACCAAGGATGTCAAATTAGCAGCCCCGAAGCTGAGTTATACAGCCCTAGAAGACATTTTAATTCTGTATTTGTTGCAAATACGGTGTTACAAAGATTTCAAGATTTCAGTCAATTTAAGTTCGAATTGATATTATCGCATTTCCATTAAAAACGAACATGACAACGCACGAGAAAATTGAAAATGTACTCAATTAATTTACAAAGTGATATAAATCTTATTCAATTATTTCAAGATGCCCATTTCACTACGAATAATCGTTTTGTTTGGGTATACAGTTACATGCGAACAGCTTTTTTTTCTTACACGTTTTGGCAGTGATCACTGTTTGGTTTGTGATAAATTAAAGGGGCGCTAGGCACTTCTTGGAAGAATGTGAACTGCCTGGGAGTGCAAGGGATCATTTTAGAAGACATTATAATGACAATTTTGAAAAAAAAAACATGGTAATTTGGTCAGATATGCAAGAAACATTATGGAAATTATAAACTGTAATAGACAAGCTGCGGGAATTTTTTGAGATTTTATGTGTGCTGAGAGTTTAAGTGCATGTGTATTTGAATTAACTGTGTTAGTTTTGTTTATTATGTGTTATTTTTTATTTTATGTTCTTAAAATAGTTTTATTTTTCTTTTCTTTAGTTCGTTTTGTGTGGTACGCTGTAATAAGGTCCAATTACAAACTGAGGTTCACTGGTCTTATTTATCATTTTGTTTAGTTTGCTTTTTACTAACTTTTTTGTTACACGTTCCTGAAGCCTGACTTTCCGGAGGCTTTTAAAGCTTAGTATATATACTTTATGTAATTAGTTTAATCGTCTTGAATTTTATATTAAATATGGCCGTGTAGCTGGATGTCGTCTTTTGTTGTTGAGTGGGTTGGTCTACTTTGGTCATATGGCCGAATAACTCGGGCTAGGTGGACTGAGTGCTTCTCCCCAATAAATCACCGTCAAGTCTCAATTTATAGTTAAGAATTAGCTTATAATTATTTGCATACAAATATATGTATATTTATTTATGCACCGAAGTAAAATTTAGTAACTAAGAGAAAAAACTTACACACAAGTTTTTTTCCACTTTTCCCTCTTATATTATTACTGTAATTGTCTATGACACGTTTATATAACTATTTAGTAAGCGAAATGTAAGACTTATTTTAAATATTTTTTAATTTGTTAATATTTTTTTTTTCATTTTGTTAAAACAAAAATCTGGCCTTCAATATTTTCCAGATCGTGCATATGACCGCATGCAATTTGAATTTGTTTGATACTGTTTTATACAATTTTAAATTATCTAAAATTCTCAGCTAGCTTTTTTATTTTAATTTCTTTATTTGAAATTTTAATTCTTTCATTTCTGACAGACATTTTTTTTTCTATGCGACGTTCACTTTTTTGTACAGTATCTCTTCCTTTCTCATTTCCATGAGTGTAATGACACTTTTTTAAGGGTAAGAAAACATACAATATAAATGATACTTTAAAACACAAATCTTAAAAGGAAAACTGACAAAAAATATGGGTACAAAATTTTCCAAATACTTACATTGCAAGAAAACAAATATATATGATTTAAATTAATTTGAGATGTCCACATTACTAGAATATCGCTTTGCAGTAGAATGAAACTATAGTTTTAAATGCGCAGAGCTGCTACAGAATAGTGAAGTCAGACTACTTTCCATTAACTCCCCCTACGAGGAGCGCCCAAGCAGGTGATCACTCAAAGGAATGGACTAGCCGTAGATCGTGGATGCTAATTAGCCATCTCATTACGAAATGCCGGCATCACACAGTAGCATCACCAACTGATCCATCCTCACAAATTATTAATTTTTATAACTCAACAGGTAAGCTTACATTGTTAGTGTAATTCGGTGATTTTTTTTCCTTCCTCAGTTCCAGTTTCCAAAACCTGCATCATAATTTACTTTTCAATGTTACTGATTAATCTTTTAATTTGATATTTCTTTCCTTAATTGCTAAAACTGGATTCACAGTTAATTTAGTGGAGTAATGTGAAATAATTTCAAGGATACATAATTGCAGCATATGAAATTAGCAAAGATGTTAACACTGATTCTTCTTCACAAGCCCAGCAACACCTTACTGGCCTTAGCTGGATCAAACAGGTGCTTCATTTGCAAACACGCCCATCCAATTTTTTAATTTTTAATTTAACCCTTCCATTTTTTAATTTAAGTCTTTTTCCTCTCCTCTAGTTGGTGGTCTTCGTTTAGCTAAAGATCCTTCGGGATGATTATTTCAAAAAGATATTTTTCCGAAACTTTGCAAGAGTTCAAGAAAGCAGCAAATTTCTATATGCCTCCAAAATGTGTAAATATGATTAAAAAGCTAAGCTGTATTAATGGAAATAATTTTTATAAAATCAGTCGTAGGTATGAAATGATATATTTCGATTTGTAAAAAATCTTAAATTAAAAAATTAGAAATTCATCTTATAAACAAAACAAATAATAATTTTTAACTATTACATTGTAAGGATTATGTTAATTTTATTAACAGTTAAATTTTAAGTTAAAGTTCCTTTCCTGTCAAATTCTTAATTCAACTATTACTTCCGGCCAGAACGTAGTTTTGGAATATGCGATATTTAATGAGAAGGAGCGGTATTTTAAAACCCGAAGTTACTTACCGAGAAGAGAGAGAGAAACAGAGTTTCTGAATTACGCGCGTCTGCCTTTTTGGCCACTCTTTCTCTCTCAAAGCTGTTATACGCTCGGCCGTACTCAGGCCCTTGCTAAGCTTCGTAGTAAAATAGGTAAGGGGCCAACTCTCATTGTACCTGATAGCTTGGCTAGACTTAGTTAGTTAATCTTAG